GAATGCCCAGTGGAAGCAGCCCAATGGGTCTGGTACGAATACCCACGCACTTCATTGCCTACAGGATCACGGCCAAGAATAGCCTCTCAGCCAGAAAGAGGGGAAAAAATAAATCAAATTTCTTCAGAATCTTAAAAACCATAATTCCTTTGACTTGGTCTGAACAAAGAGGTATAAAATGAAAGTGGGAGGGAGGGGGAATTAGAGCCAAATTCTGTATTTACCTATTAAAATGCAAACAAATAAATATACCAAAGGATCCGTGGATTTTTCATTAATTGCTGAATTTAACAAAACACAGTGGATGTGGGAGCAGAGAAAAAGCACAGCTAAACTAAGTAAAGCTCAAGTCCTCCTGAGCATGTCTACACTGTGGTTGGATGCCCAACAGGAGTGCTCCCAACGCATGCCCTGCCCATCTCTTCCTGGTGACACACCAAACACTGCAATACGCCAGGAAAGCCTCGCTGGAGGTTTGCTTCTCTAACCTTTCTTGAGACCTCCGACTCCAGCTTGCCCGAAAGAAGCCACCACAGAGTAACAGCTCACGAGTAATCTCTGGTTTGGAGCATGCATGGGGAACAGGCAATAGGGGCAGGCAGCTGCCACTTGCGTGGGCATGCCAACTGGAGTCCCCTGCTGGGTGCCTCCATTTTTATTCTTCCATTTCTGGACCATTTTAATCTTTATTGAACCAAATATCTTGTTCCAAAAAGAACGTCCACATTTTAGGTCATGTGTCTGCGTGTGCACACCCACCCACTTTCTCTCTCTCAGGCCTAAAGTATAGCACGTTTCCTTATCTTCACCAATGTGTTCAATTCCCCAGGTACTCTGGAAACTTGCCTCTTAAAATAATTTAAAAATAAGTTTGTATCAGTGCAAAGAGGAATTGAAAAGGATGGACAGATCTGTTGCCCCAAAAGCAATGAGACAGAACCTGTCAGGATGGGTGCAAACCTTGTATTCATGTTATAGGACTTTAAGGATGCATTTCTTAATACAGCCAAGAAACCCAAATTGCATAAATTTGTTTCCAGCCATTTTTCCCCCCAAGCTTTATTCTTTGCCACCAACATGGAAGCTGTAATCTGTTGTCAGTATATCTGAAGACCAGGAATTCTGGAATTGCAGTGAGATATTTCCACCTTGTAGCCATCAATACTCATGAAATCTCTGAGCCAGTTGGGACTTCTATGCATCAATTCCAGTTTGGGGAAACTTTCAGACTTGGTTTAGTCTGCAACCTATTCAAGATCCCCTGTCTATACAGTTAGGGAATATACTACTACTACTATCTTAAGGAAGTCTAACAAGAGATTTCATAGGTGAAGGTGGCTTGTGCTTAACATACGTTTAAAGTGTTTTAACATTAAAAAGAGTAGCATGAATGGTACCAAGGCCAGCCCCAAGCTTAGTGGCAGGTAGAGCCTGACTAAAATGGCTACCTTCTGCTCATATGCGTATGCCCCTCTCAACATTACTGAAAACATGTAAAAAACAAGAATGTGTCCAAGCTATTTAAGTTTCTGTTGCTATAATGCATATGCCTTACCAGAAAACAGTAACAAATTATACCAGTGAAAAACAATTTTTCTTCACTAAAATTACTATGAGTTACTAATGCAAAACAAGATTGAGAACAATTCCCTCTAAAGAAACTACTACTGCCACTGCCAGAGACAGTCTGATCCTGTATAAAGCAGGGGTGTCAAAGAGCTGGCCCATGGAGATGCATCACCTGGACCCACATGCAGCATACAGGGCGGCCACCAAATGCTGCAGGAGGCCAGATGGCCCCCAAATGCTGCAGAGGGACCCACTCCAGCTGCTCTGGGACTGTGCCATATGGGGCTCCTGCCCCAGCATGCATCTACTCCAGAGCACATCCTGGAGCATCCCAAAGCAGCTGGTCTAGGACTGTGCTGCATGCTCTGACTGCTCTGGATCTAGGACGCAAGCTAGATCCAGCATGGAGCAGACATCCTGGAACCGGCACGAGGATCCAGCCCATGGACAGGCCCCCACAACACTCATTCGACCCATGAGGCCAGATGACACTGACACCTCTGCGTATGGTCTTAACTCAGGCGTGCTCAACCTTTTGCCCATGGGCCAAATGTGGCCTGCTGAGCCATTGCATCTGGCCCTTGGGGCTCCCCATGGGTCAAGAAATTTGGTGGCAGTGGTTGAGCACCCAATTAATCTTGAATTACTTAGAAGATAATGGCCATTCTGTCTACGCACAGGCTTTTTCGCAAAAATGAAAACTCTTTATGAAGAAAACATAACTTGGGCAGGATCTTCCAGCTTTACTGGGCTGGGAAGGAGATGTGAAGTTAGTTGCTAGATCATCAATGGGGTGTTTTTTTCTGCCACAGATTTTCAGGCAAAGTTTTTGAAAACTGAACTATACTAAAAATATAAAAAGCAGACCCTGAAAGTTCACAAAATGCTTGGCAAGAAAAAGCCTTGTTCAGTTCCCTGCTGGAGGGTCCCGAAGAGGATGGAGCTGGACTGTTCTCAGTGGGGACAGACGAAAGAACAAGGAGCAATGGGCTCAAGCTGCAGCAAGGGAAGCTGACATTGGATATTAGGAAACACTTTCTTACTAGGAGGGTGGTGAAGCACTGAAATAGGTTACCCAGAGATGAGGTGGAATCTCCATCCTTGGAGGTTTTGAAGACTCAGCTAAACAAAGTCTTGGCTGGGATGATGTAGTTGTGGCTGGTCCTGCTTTGAGCAGAGTGCTGGACTAAATGTGACTTCCTGAGGTCCCTTTCAGCCCTCATTTTGCAAGAGCAAGTTGTTAATTAAAACACTGCTGCCAAGGGCAGGGGACCCTGAGGGACCTTTCGCTGAAGCTTTGTCTACGCGTACGACTAAACCAAATCAAAAACGGTGCAACCTCCTCAGGCTGACAGTTTCAAATCCTTTTAGTTTAGTTTATCAGCTTAACTATCTCTTCCAGGGTGGGTAAAGCCATGAGCACAAGGACTCATTTCTAATGGGAATTTTTGGTCACTTCCCTACAAGTAATTAAGCAGAGACCTGTATTACCTGCAAGTTTATACATAATGCAGCTACAAATAGTCATGTTGAAACCGAGCTTACAAAGAAACAGCTTCCTCCAGCTCCTCAAGCAGCCCTACATCAGGAGCTAGAAACATTAAAATAAACTCCACAAATAAACCTTAAAAAAAAAAAAAGAAGTCATAATTTATCTTTCTGACATCAAATCAGCAGACTGAGATTTTGGTGCATCAGTGATGGCAACAGACTTGATTTAAATACCATGTAGTCTGCATTATTACCAGGACATTTACTGTTGCTTTTGAGCCACTTTCCTCTTTAATACATTTCAGACAATAAGATGCTTTTCCCAGCTGCATGAATCTGTTCTCTACAGAAGAGGAGGAAAGAATGGGAAGAGCAAGGTGCGCTGGGTTTTTTTTTTGTTGGCTTCTTCTCTTTCATCTACCTGTTGATATAACATCCAGACTTGAACAGATAAGGGGCCAATACAGCTCCAACACAAATTTACTTCTAAATTAAAAAACTTGACTGTTCTTTCTTCTAGACTCCCTTCCAGAGTCCACCCAAACGCTGCAGAATCTGCCTCCCTCCACGGCCTGCCACCTTCGCTCCTTCGAAGCTCAGGAAATACTCTCTTCCCCCAGATGGCTACGGTGCCATCACATCACACTGTCCTCTTGCCTCTTCCCTTCTGTTGGTTTTGTATGGGGTGAGGTTTTCTTGTTCCAGATTAATTTCTTTGATAGAACTTGATTGGAAAAGAATCTGACGTAGGCGCACTTTCAGACTTCACCATCAATGTAGGTCTTAAAACCACTTCCTACCTCCTAGGCAGACAAGGTTCTTTGGGTAAGAACCAGAATCTCATTTGCCTGCGTCCTTAGACCAACACGGCTATCCTCACCCCCGTCCTACCTCCTAAGCACTTCACAAATAATTCATCATGGCTCCAGCCCTGAGAAAGACATGCTATTCCCATTTAGAGATAGAAAACCTGATGCAGTGATATACAGCTACACAGCTGCCTAGCCCAGAGCTATCCAACTTCTGGCAGCAAGGTGTGGGGTCTCACCCTCCATGTCCCAGCAGGGTCTGCACGCCCTTCAAGCTACCACCATGTGCCTTCTCCCCACCATCGCACCACGTGCAAACAGACCCCTCGCCCCACCTCGCTAGTCATGGGCTCTTCCACTGTAGGCTGTTTTGTGCCACATTTTGCTGCCTCCCCGTGCAGGTGCAAGAATCTGAAATGGGAGAGAAAAAGCCAGAAGAAGCAACAGAGGAAGTAGCAGCCGGGTTGGGGGAATGGGCTGCAGACTAACCCCTTGCAGGTTGCCTGCTGGACAGGTCTGGTCTAGTCCTTGACACATGTAACATGTATCACCATTAAAAAACCCTAAAAAAAAAAATTAAAAAAAGAAAAAAGAAAAGAAAGAAAGAAAAGGGTTGTGACCAAAATCATACAGAAAACCATTGCCAGGAATGACTTGAATCCAACCCTTCCCAGTTCCTGGACCCACAATTTGACCAGATGAAGTGGGTGGAGTTGTGCATGTTCTTAGTAGATATATACTGGTTTTACCATGTGTGGGAAGAATGACAGTTGCATTTATTTTGCCTAGACTAGAATCTCCCAGGCAGGAGCTTGTAAATACAGAGAAACATTCAGAGTAATAGATGAGCAATTGTGCAGTATGTGGCCATAATTTCACCGAGTGTGAAAGCATAAGAGTAACCCCAGGTAATGGAACTGTTATATATATTCACACAAATAATCCTAGCCTCTGTCCTGACACTAAAACAAGGCTGTAGACTTACACAGCTTGTAAATTCCCCCTGGAGAAACAACTTTGCGAGAGCAGAACAGAAGAAAACAATCTGTAGAAGCTAATGGGTTTAGTTCTCTGTGATTTAAACCAGGCTGATTAATCTTTAACATCTACCTGCTTTTAGGATTTTTGCCTGCCTTTTTTTCTTTTTGCCAGAAATCATGAAAAGGAACCCACCAAATTCGTGATTTCCTGATGTTCATGGAAACCATAACCTTAGGTCTTGAAGGGCAAACCCAACGCTCAACACAAGGGCAAGAACTGATCCTTCAATGCAGAGGAAAGACGGTTCGTATGTGAAATACCTCTACTGATGGAAAATTAGCTAATACAGCCTCAAGCTATTGTAGATGCCTCAGTACTATCAACCCAAATTATTAAAAAATCATGAGGCTGGATTACTTTCACTTGCCGTCTTGGGCTAGGGGGGTAGGCTGTAGCAGTGTTGGTCTAAGGACATAAGCAGACAAGGTTCTTTGGGTAAATCTGATATCTTTTATTATACCAACTTGGGTTGGAGCATTTTAGGGTTAATATATTCAAAATGTTCCTTTTAAAAGGAAGCTGGAAACTTCCTCTAATAAGAGGAAAGATTTTTACATAATAACCAGATTCCAACAGCTAGAGATCTTGGGGGGGAGGAGGGGACCCAAAACTAGATGGCAACACAGATACCTTTCCTTTGTTGCTACCATTGTTATTACTAAATTTTTTTGGGAGAGGCCAGAAGGTGAGGCTACAATCAGAGTGCTTGCCTGAAGGAGACACTGGAACGAAGAGAGGCTACTATAAACAGCATTTTTTGGTGCCTAGGGGCTCCATTCAGGGATCAGAGCTACATTATTCCAGGCACTTTACAAACCCAGAATAAGCTGTCCCTTCCCAGGAGGGCTCACAGTCTAAAGCCCTAATCTTAAAACTCCTCACTGTGGGATAAGTGTCTGTGTTTGCAGGACTGGGTCCTGAGCGAGCTGAGGATAGTTCTTTAACAGGCAAGTGGAAAACGCAGCGTACAGGGAACATAAAAGGAAGTGCGATGAGCAGAGTGAAACATGGTCGAGAGAGCTTGGAGGATTTCAATTAGGAAACAGAGACAAGTACTGGACCTCCGGAGAGCTGTTACTTCTCATAAAACTTACTTGAGAGATAAAGAGAGACTACAGCAGGCCAGGCCATTACAATCTCTTTATAAGGGTAAGTCGTGCCTTATTTTGCAGGATGTTGATTCCACCTACACAAAGCAAGAGCCTAGAGTTCCTCTTAAATTCTCACACAAGAGATATGGATGCCACAATTTTACAAGCTGCAAAGCCCAAAGCACAAGATAAAGAACATCTGGCTTTGTTTTTCATGCAAGCTGTCTAGCACATTATTGATGCTAGAGCAAAAGGACAGAAATCCTTCAATGGAGACAGACATCAGCAAGGAACTCACAAGCAGGCTATTAGTCTCTAGTTATTAAGAAAAGCCATTTCAGAGGGTTACTCATTAGAATTGTTACGGACTTTTACAAGGAGAAATGTGGCCTCCCCCCATTTAAATCTATTTGCAATGTAATTTCTCTAGCTTCCTCCTCACCTTCTCTGACACAAGGAAGAACCGCACCTGAACTATCTTGCAAGCTTCTCTTCTACTAGCAGAGACAATACTTCAGTTAGATGCTACCATCCTCCCTTTGAGCTTTCATTACATCAATGGACAAATGTCTTTATCTCTTTTTTGTTACTGAAACTGTTAAACCAAAAAAGTTAAAAAGCGAATCTCTTTTCCACTCTCCACTATAGAAAGAGACACAAAAGTTTCTAGTTAAAGTGCAAAGGAATAAAGAAACCCAAGAGCTATTAAAGAGAGGCAGGAAGCATAAAGCATCTGGAAGAAAAACATTAACCTGTGCATTTTAGAGCCATGGCTATACAACACACAGGAACTTCAATTCCCTCCATGGCACTACACAATTAGAGGCAATAGCATTTCCATATTTACAAGGATTATATGGCATCTCGTACAGAATGAAACGCTAATAATATTGGCAGAAGATTGTTACTGGTAAGGATAAAGGAAACACCCTAGCAGCAAAGAATATCAAAGGGCTATCTAGATAAAGATACTGAATTTCATCTTTCAGAAGCTTACCCCATCTTTGTTACATATAAACACCATTTTTATAGCCCCAAAACACCCAGGAGAGGTGCAGCCAGGCCCAGGGTCAGTGAGGACCTAGTCAGGGAACTTCCGGAGGGACTAGATGTGTTCAAATTAGCTGGTCCTGATGATCTCCACCCCACAGCGCTTAGGGAACTGGCAGAGGTCATTGCGGGACCCCTGGCACAGCTTTACGAGCATTCATGGTGCTCTGGTGAGGTGCCAGATGACTGGAAAAGGGCCAATGTGGTCCCCATTTTCACAAAAGGGAGGAAAGAGGCCCCAGGAAACTATAGGCCTGTTAGTCTTACTTCGGTTCTGGGGAAGCTCTTTGAGAAAATTATCCAAGAGCACATCTGCAGGGGGCCAGCAGGAGAGGTGATGCTCAGGGGCAACCAGCATGGGTTCATTAGAGGCAGGTCCTGTCAGACCAACCTGGTGGCCTTCTATGACCAGGTCACAAAAGCCTTGGACGCAGGTGTCGTGGTGGATGTAGTCTTCCTGGACTTTAGGAAGGCCTTCAACACTGTCTCTCACCCCATCCTCATTAAAAAATTAGGTGTCTGTGATGTTGATGCCTACACAATCAGATGGGTCACTAACTGGCTGGACAGCTGCACCCAGAGTGGTGGTGGATGGGTCATTTTTGACCTGGAGGGATGTGGGCAGTGGGGTTCCCCAGGGCTCAGTCCTCAGGCCCGCGCTGTTCAACATCTTCATCAGTGACTTGGACGAGGGGGTAAAAAGCACCCTGTTCAAGTTCGCAGATGACACCAAGATTTGGGGCAAGGTGGGCACGCTAGAAGGGAGGAATAGGCTGCATTTGGACCTAGACAGGTTACAGGGGTGGGCGGATGAGAACAGGATGGGGTTCAACACTGACAAGTGCAAGGTGCTGCACCTGGGAAGGAAGAACCAGCAGCAGACCTACAGGCTGGGGAACTCCCTTCTCGTCAGTGCAGAGGCGGAAAAGGATCCCGGAGTCATTATTGATTCCAAGATGAACATGGGCCGCCAATGTGGGGACGCAGTCAGGAAGGCTAACCGCACTTTGCCATGCATCCACAGATGCATCACAGGCAGGTCCAAGGAGGTGATCCCCACCCCCCCTATGAGACACTGGTCAGGCCACAGTTGGAGTACCACATCCAGTTCTGGGCGCCGCACTTCAGGAGGGATGTGGACAGCAGGGAGAGGGTCCAGAGGAGGGCCACCCGTATGGTCAGGGGGCAGCAGGGCAAGCCCTACGAGGAGAGGTCTACGGGACCTGAACCTGTTCAGTCTCTACAAGAGAAGGCTGAGGGGATCTGGTGGCAGCCTATAAATTTGCCAAGGGGGACCAGCAGGCAATGGGAGAGTCCCTGTTCCCCTGAGCACTACCAAGGGTAACAAGAAACAACGGCTATAAGTTGACTGAGAGTAGATTCAGGCTAGATACCAGGAGGCGCTACTTCACTGTCAGGGCATCTAGGATCTGGAACCAACTTCCAAGGGACGTGGTGCTCACCCCTACCCTGGGGGTCTTCAAAAAGGAGGCTAGACAGCCACCTAGCTGGGGTCATTTGACCCCAGCATCCTTTCCTGCCCATGGCAGGGGGTCGGAATAGATGATCCGCTTAGGTCCCTTTTGACCCCACCTACTATGAAACATAGATATTTAATGGGAAGAAAATAACTGGGAAACAGTAACTAAAAGGAAAAAAAAGGGGGGGGGGATAAATAATAAATTAAATTAAATAAAACAGCCCGAAGCCATCAGATATGACTCACAGAGTTGGAGGGCTTTGGAGACACCATGGCCAGGGGGCAAGCACCTTGGACCACACTGCAGGGAGAAGCAGTGGCGGCAGCAGCTGGGTCCGTACTAGTCATCCTAGGGCCCAAGCTGGATCATTCGAGCCCGACGCCACAAAGTTTTGCCAATCTAAAAGATTGTGGGGGTAAAAGATTGCTTTAAGGTCCAACCCCACCTTCCTGTCTGTCCAATTACTGTCTGAGGAAGGCTCACCTCCAGCAGGGATCAGAATGGGTCCCTAAACACAAATCACTGGTTAAACAGTGAGTCATGAAGTACCCGATAGCCATCCGCAAGTGTTGAGAGACCTAGATAAACTTAGAATGGAGCAGAATTATTCATTCAGCCCTTAGCCTGTTTGCTGTGACTAGTGCTAATTAGTATCACAAGACAGGACTGAAACAACCATCAGAAAATAAATAAACTGGTTCATTTTTGCAAGAAGGACACTGCACTAGGAAGAGAGCTGTGAATTCACTCCACAAAAGCAACCCCAGAGCTTTTTTCCAATAGTAACAACTTCTGTGCACTGTCCATTACCAGAA